CAGCCTCAACTCGGAGTCTGAGATCTGTTGCCTTCCACTTCTTGCTTTGGCTGTCACAATCAGGGAGCCCAGAAACACAGCTCTTACTGGCAGGGCCATTTTCAGGGTGTAACTGACATACAAACAGTCAGAGTCGAGCCCCAGATACCCTTCACCCAGGCCTTCCTCTACTGTGGACTGACATTCTCCTTCCTCTCAGACCCCCAGCTCTGCCCCCACGTGGTACAGGCCCTGGTATCCCCAAGCAGGCTGTGCACTCCTCAGACTTCCCTGTGCCCCTTGAGACGCCCAGGATGGGGCCTGGCACACAGACGCTGTGGGAAGTGAACCTTATTTTCCCCCAGGGGACGTGTGCAGATGTCTGGAGACATGTTTGATTGTCACAACTGGGGAGAGCTACTGGCGTCTAGTGGGTAGAGGTCAGGAATGCTGCTCAACATCCTATGAAACACAGGACCAACTCTACAAGTGGGTAACATCCTTAGGGTCACACTTGAGAAACCCTGCTCTACAGAAACAATGTTCAGGCCAGTCTGGCAAGTTCCACCAAAGGCCTCACCTGGATCTGGTCTCTTAGGGCAGATAAACCTGACCTCTAGCGTGCTCAGAGGCTGTGAAAAGCCAAGTGCTCAATGTCCTCTGTAGCCGCAAAAACTCCAATATAAGAGAAACCAAAGATCTACAATGATTTTTTATAGTGAAAGTTGCAGGGGTAACATTCTCTAGCAACCAAGAGCGCCCACTAAAACCAGCCCTGCTCTCTGCACAATGATGTAGGAAAGGGGGCCTGCATTCTTTAGGGTCCATCTTCTAATCACACATGTCCCCCTCCACTTTGTGATTCCTTCAGCTCTTTTAGCCCCAATCCTTCCACTGTGCACAGACACTGATAAACTCACTAATCTACCCTGGGTAATACACTGTGAATAAATAGGAAATCATCTCATAACAGGTGTTTCTAGCAAGAACACCCTCTCCAGCACACGTGCACACACACACACACACACACCAGCATCACCACAATTGAGATCCTGGTGGGCCACTCTCTGGCTTAGCCCAGTTTGACTGCACATAGGACTCCCTAACTTAGCTTGGCTCTTACCCTCTATGGAACTCAATGCTACCAAGGGTGGCCCAGACAGCCCAGACCTGAGCAAACAGCCCTCTCCTTGACAAAAGGCCTCTCTCGCAACAACTCCCAAACAGGAACCACAAGACCAGGTAAACTACACAATGAGCCACACCAGTCAGACCCTCCACCCCCACCTTGCCCGGGACAGCTCCTTTCCCTGCAGGGTCTCTGCTGTCCTGCAATGGCATGTCCTGGAGGGGGTGGGCCGGTGTGCACGACAGGCATGGTTCCACTGAGTTACTCAGCTCACAAGCCCCTACTAGCAGATGTGAGTCTCTCCCATGTCAGTGAACTTGCATCTTGCTTTTAGACTCCAAAATCCAACCTTCACAATCTGGGAGATAGCATCAGGTCACCTGACCGCCAGCAGCCTTCCAGCCCAACTCTATCTCACCTGGAGACAGGGTGAAACATGGCTGAGCACTCACCTGCTCTGGGTCCTGGCAGAGGTGTTGTGGGGGGCTCCCAACCTCAGCATGGACAAAAGCTGACCTACAAAAAGCTCACTTCTGTTTTTAAACTTGCGTCAAGTCTCACTTTAAATAATGCTGAGAACAAAATGCAAGCTGATATTTCAGCTTACTTAAAAGGCTTATTAAAAACACTAAATCCAAAGACGTTAAAAAGCTATAATTGTCCTCATTCAAGCTGGAAAAATAAATCTATTTGCTTTCTTCTTTTATGATCCTCTTCTTTAAAAAAAAATAAGTTCATCTATATTCTCATGAGCATCATTGCTGTCTTTTTTTCCCCTTCCATTCAAGGCACTTTAAAAACACCTGTGCCATTCACAGCCAACTTTTGAGCAAAAGGCAACCATGTTTGGGAAAGGCTGTTTAACTCTGATTCCCTTATGCCAGAGATAAGTTTCTCTTGCTCAGAAAGGTGAAGTTCAAAGTTCATTTGAACGGGCTCTTAAATTTTATAGGTCTGATCTGGTGGAAATTTCTTTGGTTACCTAAGGCAGAGTAGATAACCTAATCTGTCAGCTTTTTGGGGCTCAGCAGGCAATGAATGATTCCACATCTCAGCACTGCCTTCAGTACCCAATGGGCAACTGTGGTTAGTAGGGCTGCACATCCTGGCCACCTCCCTGCTCTCTCTCATAATGCGGGTTACTGGCCTCCGGCTTGGACCAGAGCAGCGTGACTGTCTCTCCCTATCCTGCCCTATGTCTTCCGTGAAGACAGCCCAGCCAGCAGTTAACTTGCTGAGTTGTGAGAGCTCAAGCTTGCTCAGAAGTTAAGCACTCTAGGCATAGAACAAGATGGGTTTTCAGAGCAGTGGTCCAAGAGAATGCAAATTTATTGAAAGTGCTTTCTCCAGGTTTTCCATAATTACCATTTATGTCTCCAGGAACTGTTTCCCTGAACCCAGTTTAGGGTGAAAGCATTTTAGAGACTTTCTCTGCAGATGACATATGAGGTACTAACCTTTTTTCATATGCCCAGATGTTAAGTTCATTTTCATCACATTTATGCAAATTTCATTTGAACAGTAAATCAAAAGAAATCTTAAATCATTGTACACTATTTAAAAATCCACACTAAATCCAGTTTACTTGCAGTGATATTAACATAAAGTCACAGTTAAGGGACTGAAGGTAGGAAGCAGATGTCACAATCCCGTCTTCTATGCAATGGCCCCAGAGAGACCTGGGGTCCCAGCCATCCATCAGATCAAAAAAATGTCTCTGCCTGGTCACAACCCAAATCAAGTGTTACCAGCTTAAGGGTATTCTGTAGATTGAAGCCTTCTAAAAGTTTTCCAAACTTTGGGAAAACAGGGGTCCCTCAATCTAGGGGCCTGCCATCCTTGTTAGTGTCTAGGCTCAGGCACTACAAAGTTCAAACCAGGGGCCCAGTAGTGAGACTTCTGGCAGCTTGCTTCTTCCTCAGTGGGGGGAAAAGTTAATTCCTAGGGCTCTGCGGGCCTGCATTTGTCAAAGCGCTGGACGGCAGTGCTATCATTACCAAGCAAATCAGCCAGGCGGTTAATGGTGGAATCAGGAGACATTTGCACTCTGCTATCAGAATGACATCATAACTAAAGCAGCCTTCAGCCAGAAGCCTTAGGCTCTCCCTAAGCAGAGGCCGGAGGGTTGCCCGCTTCCCCCTACATCTCCCCAGGCCAAAGCTGAGTCCCCTGCCCCTTCCCATCAGGCTGGTGGGCTGAGCTGATAGCAAATTTCCTAGCAAACAGAAACTAGGCTTACAGTTTTCGCCCAAGAAAATCTACTTTTCCCCAGGTTCTGAGCACTGTAAATAAATAACACACTATTGTGTTTTTAATAAAATTTGAGATATTATAAAATCACTTATCTGGACAGGCCACGGTTGATATTTTATGAATGTAGCTACATTTTGGCTATAGAATTTATGGCATTTCCAACAGAACTGTCAGTCTCTCGGTGACGGTCTTTAGTAAAGAAGCCCTGCACACTCTCCTTCGAGCACTAGAAATAAATGATGCTGGAGAAATTGGTGGGGGGGCAGGGAAGGAGCTAAGGAAGAAGCCCTTCTTGCTCTTGCGCCTGCTTTCCTTTCTTTTTAAAGCACAGCCGATCACACACACACACGCACACACACACACACACACACACACACACACAGAGCCAGAGACACAAACCTTAGAATAATGGGGGAGGCATTTGGCGACGAGCTGCAGACGCGGCGCGGCGCGACTAGCAGCGGCCCGGCTCGCTCTCTGGTTCGCAGCTCTACCCTCCACGGCGGCGGGGACCGACTACCCGCCCGGACCCGAGATGCCCAACTCCACCGCGTCCCAATGATCGCCTCCCGATTCTCGCTACAGGTACACGCCTGGCCCAAACACCTCACCTGACCGAAAAACTCGGGAGACAGAGGGGTGAAAAGTTGTGCAAGCTGCTAGCCGGGAGCGCCGGAGCCGGCGGCTGCAGTCCTCCCGCCAGCGAGCAGCCCTCCGCCGGGGCACCTCGCTCGCCTGCTTTGCGCGCTAACCTCGGGGCGCACCGAGGCCACGGCAGGGCACTTACTTGGCACTCGCTTTTGAGCGTGCAGGTCGTCGCAGTTTTCACTTGGGTTTTCAAACAAGTTTCAGGGAGGGAGAATGAGGGGAAAGGAAAAAAAGAAAGGAAAAAAAAAAAAGAAAGATCCAATTATGCAAATAGGCTCCGGACTGGGAGGCGCGCGTCGAGTCTGACGCCGCTACCGTACGAGTTCTCGGAGCAGCCCCGGGCCGGGCAGATTTATGGGGGCGCGTCACGGCTACGCCAGGTCCCGCCGCCGGAGCATCTCGAAGTTAATTAAAGCGGTAATGTCCACTTTCCCGGCGACCCTCCGTGCGCGGGTTTACTGTTTCACCGTCCAACCCGACCCGGGCGGGGGCGGAGACGCTCTCCCTGCGCCTCTCTTCCTTCCCTCTTCTTGCTCCCCCTCTTTTTCCTCTTTCGTCTCTTTAAGTCGCCTGCCTTCCACTCAGTGAACAATGAACAAAGATGTGAGTGATGGGAAAAGATCGCCCCCTCCCAACCCCAGCAGTGAGCAAAGCCGGTCTCAAAGTAAAAACCCAGTTGCTAATATCAAACTGGAAAAGAAAACAGTGCGTTCCCACTCTAACCCCCCCCCATACACACACACGCACGCACGCACGCTCACCCCACCCCAAGTTCACCTAAGCCCTGGTTGGGGGCGGGGGGCGCAAGGCCAGGGCTCCAGGGGCTGCCCAACGCGCCCGGGACACCGGGGACAACGGACACTGCGGTGGAGAGCACTCGGGCCCAGCCTGCTCCTCGCGGCCCTCCCCGCCTGCCCTCCCCCCAACCCCCTCCCTGAGTCTACACCGGCCAGCCCGGCCCCGCGGCCCGCTCCGGCTGCCCGGCGGCCGGATGCGCTCAGCAAACGCGGCCCCTGTCGGTTTTCTGCTAAACTGCACAGCGGCGGCGGCGGCTGCCGGGAGAAGGCGCAGGAGCAGCCGAGGCCGGCACCGCGCGCGCACTCACCCCGCCCGGCCCACTGCCCCTACCAGCGACCGGCCGGCCGCCCGCTCCCACCCGCACGCACTCTTGCGCGCCCACCAGCGCCCGCGGGCTCCCCGACCCGCAGGCCAGGACGCCGCGCAGCCGCCGTATTTTCTGCTAAAGTGAAAACGAAGGCGGCTGACAAATCACGTCTCCTGTGAGGCACTCGTTAGACATAACAATATCCGGCAAACAAAACCCAGCCGCGGCTGCGACCGGCGCGCGGGGCTGGGACCCCGCCCTGCCCCTCCTCGCCCCCGCTCTGTGCTCAGGCCTGCGCGGTCCCCAGCCCACCCCCAATCGATCGTCCGACCTTCCACCTAACTCGAGGGTTGTGTGCACGTTCGCCGAGAGGCGGACATAGGGACGTTCACAATACAGAAGTGGGAAAAGGAGGGGAGACAACTTTCCACCTGTCCCCAAAGAAAGCCCTGCAGGAGTTTTCTCAGAAGAGTAGGCTGGGGACAGATCTCTGCCCCCGAATCCCCTTTTCTTTCTTTTTCCTAACTTCCCAGCGCCTGCGTTTCCACCTTCCACTTCACACACATCCATCTATATACAGATATCTATATTTTAAATTATTTGCAAAACTGCAACAGATGGGCGCGTCGAGATCTGGACACTTTCCTACTCATCATCAAAGAAAAGCTCCCCCCCCCCTTTTTTTTTTAATTTTTTGCCTAAAATACATCCTGGTCCCGCCTACGACTGTTTTCCTCAATTCTTCATCTTCAAAAAATGTCTTGAAGCAAAACAGAAAGGTTTATCAGCAAAGATCATTTTCCTCCCAGTCATACATCTGGCCTGGGGATTCCGTTCCCCCAAATTGCGCTCTTCCCAGACGCCCCCAACCCTCCGTCTCCCCGCCTTCCCAAGCCCCCACGTCCGTACTCCCTCACTCTGATTGGCCTCATTTCTCCAGCCCCGGGCTGGCCGGCTCAGTTCCCTCCATAACCTGTTACTTATTTATTTTTATCTTTGGCCCCGGGATTGGCCCCCAGGGCCTGGGCTAGGCTGGGGCAGATGCTGCGGGCACCACCTGCGCGGGTAGGCGCCGCGGCCTTTCCTGGGGTCGCAAGTTCGGACCCTGACACCCCGGCCCTACCGAGCCCCCGGCCTTGGCCTCGCCCGACTCTCCGGGTACAAGAGGCCAATGAAAACACAAAATGGCAGGTCTCAGCGGCCCTTGGCGCTGTAAGCATCGGCTAACTTTGATTTAAAAAAAAAAAAAAATTACAAATTACCCTTTTCACCCCTCGGCGGCGGGGCCGGAATCCCGCAGCGAGCCGCGGAGGAAGAAAGGGAGCGGGGGGCGCATGATTCTCAGGCAAAGCAGAAAATGGGGAAAGTCACTTGAGCAGAAGTTTCCGCGGCCCCGGGCTCGCAGTCTCCACAGACTCCCCCCACCCCCCAGACCCTTTTGAAAGTTTCCCGGGGCCGAGAGCGGCTAGCGGGCCGCGCGCGGCTGGGGGGCGCGGGCTGGGCCCGGAGCGGGGCGCGGGGTCCCGCTGGCGCGCCCGGCGCGAGGCCCGGCGACTCCTTTTCAAAGTAACGGTCCCGGGACCGCGGCGGGGGAGGCGGCGGCCCAGGCGCGGGTCCCGCTCGCCGCCGAAGTTCTCTAGCGCCCTTCGATGCCCGGCCGCCGCCGCTTTCCCGGTTTCTTCCTCTTTTTTCCCCCCCGCTGACAGCTTCTCTCGCCAACGTCACAGCCACGGATATTTAATTAGACCGTATTTTTTAATCGCGATGGGGCGAGAAGGAACCCGGCGGCAGGCCTCGCGGAGATGGAGAGGGGGAGGGGACGGGGGGGGCCGCGCCAAGAGTCCAAACTCACTTTGCCACCTCCCGGATGCCAGGGCCATCCCCCCCCGCCGCGCCCCCCCCGGCCCCCCACCCCCACCGCGCCGCGCCCCGAGACCCCCCCACCTTTGTTTTCCTTACCTTAAACACTGAAACGCGGGTGTCGGGAGCAAACTCGGGCACGTAAACGGAGCGTTGTAAAAGATTGTGTTCAATGAATAATGAAACATGTCCACATGATTGACTTGATCATTTTCCGGGGCTGAGGGGGGACGGGCGCCCTGCTCGCGCGCCTCGCTCGCCCACTCGGCAGAGCCCTGCGAACTGTTCCCAGCCCAGCCGGGGCAGGGCGGGCTCGATTTTCGTCTGCCTCTTTTCAGAATCGCCCCGTTCATTGATACTCATCACCCAGCCCCAGCAGACATCCCCATCCCCGGCTCGGCCTCCCCCTATCTGGTAGGTGAAATGCATTGTACCATTAAAAACGCTCTCCATTGTCGCCCTGGCATAATTCACAGCAACTAGATAGGTCTTGCGGCATTTAGCTTTGATGAGCCAGAGACTGAACCCTTGATATAATAATCTACAAAGAATGGTGTGTGATCGTCCATTTTTTCTCTCTGTCTAGCAACTAAGAAACCATTTAACACAGCGCAGCTTGCTTCTGACCTTGAGCTCATGTAAACACACTTATTAAAATCTATCTATTCTCCAAGAGCTACATTCTGATTGTCAGACTCGTTACTGAGACATATATCAGCCCCTTCGCTTGTCACTACTTTGCATTCCTGCCTTTGACTAAAGAATTTTTTATCCAGCCGAGAGGGAGAGAGAGATTGCCACGGAGGGAGAGGAGAGAGAGACGGAAAGGGGGAGACGAAAAAGCGTAATTCTTACCTGCTCCTGAAACTATTTAAAGTCTGTTTCTTTTCTGGGGGAAAAAAAAAAAAAACTCCCGGGTGAATCTCGGTGGACAGCGGGACGCGGAGAATCAGTCACAGCCCGGGCGTTTAAGGGAGTCATCAGCGATCAAATGACGTTGATCCGCGCTGTAACCTTGTGGCGTATTTAATGTAAATAAGGCAGTTATGTTGCCAATCGCCGCGATACAAACACGAAGAGGTCGTCAGCCTCGCCTCCCGCGCCTGCCATTAGAGGCGACTTTATTTACAGACACTATTTAGGAGATCATGATAATTCTAAAACAATACTAGTGCCAAATGATTATGAAAATATGATTTTAATTAATCACGTAGTAGGCAAGGAAATTAGCATACGGTAATTAAACTTCGAGAAAAACGTCACGCAGGTTCTCTGCCTTATGGGTCCAGAATAATCATCACGCGGTGGGCTCCAGGACTTAATTATCAAACAAAATAACTTTTTTAAGGCAACTTTGCAAATGCTGGTCCTCAAGGCAAACGCTTTGGTAAATAGTATAAGGCGAGGTAACAAGGTAGAGATGTGAGTGATGCTTGAGGTTGGGTTTCTGTGAAGCAAGGAAGAGGGGGAAGAAGGGGGGAAGAAGCTGAATAATGCAATTATGGATTCTCTGTCCTAGAGTTGACAAAAGCTGGTGCCTCAAAAGCCTCTTTGTTATGGGATTATATAATGATCCTGGTGTCATTATGGGAAAAAAAAAGATTCAGTAATAATAATAAAAGAAGTATCCAGATACACCAATGAGGAGCTTGTTTTAAAGAAAAGGCTCGCATGTGACATTGGGGCATGTTAATAGCAGAAACACAGGATCCAAAAGAGTTGACAAAGAAGGAGAAAGGGAGGGAGAGAGAGGGGAAAAGAGAGAGAGAAGGAGGGGGGAGGAGAGAGAGACTGAAGAGAGGCCTGTGTTGTGCATGATTAAGAAATGATGGAGACTGATTGATTATTCAAAACGTCAAGCCACAGGGACACTTAAAACATTGATTCAGGTAAGACTTGTTCCAGCCTGCCCAGACTGAGTTTCCCTTAGGTGACAGGAGGGTTTAAACCAGGGCACCACAATACATAAAAAGCAAAAATACAGAAAAAGCACGATACAGCCTCCCCATCACCGACCCCTTCCTAGAGGAGGGACCACTTGGTTGCAAATAACCTGTCCAACAGTGAGGGAGATGCAGAAAACTTCACACTGGAAGACCAACCTGGCAGTAGGCAAGAACTGGGATCTCAGATAACAGGCAGAGACCCAGCCTCCCAGGGCACCTGGCCATTGCACCTCACTGCGGGTGATCCCCCCAGACAGGGGCTCCGTGGGTGGGCACCCAGCCTGGTCTGTGCTGCACGGCCTTTGGACTCTGCCTTGAGAACCCAGCACATCCTCCTTTCTCTCTCACTCTCTCTTTCCAGGACTTTGGGGACCAGGAGAATCGGAGTTCCGCCAACAGGCTAGTCCTATGAGATTCTTGAAGTCCACTCTTATCTCTCATATCTCTGCAGTGGTGGTTTTTTATAAAAGCCCCTGCCTACCCCAAAAAAGTTTAGGAATTCAATCTGCATTTTCCAATCTGATGTGTCTGAAATTCTCTTTGAACAAATTCCAAAATACAAGGGTTTTTTTTTCCTCTTGTATAGAAATTAGCATCGCAATCACATCAATGATATCACTATCTCTATGGGAATGATAGCTGGAGCAGTGGGGTGTTCTTTATTTCAATTCTTCGTGGATCAACTGATTATACTCTGTCGTCTTTTGAACCTGTTATTGTAAGTCAAGTGATTCTTTATAAGTGACAGCTCGGACAAAGAGGCGAGCAGGGCCGAGCAGGTCGAAAGGAAGTGGCCATATGGACTTGGAGAAAAGGCACTTTCTCCCCCAAGAGAATGGGGGTGGCAGTCGCCTTTTAACCCTCGAGCCGCCAGCCCCGCCTGAGCCATGGGAAGCAGGGAGTCAGGCCGTGCATCCTGGCACCGTACTGGGGCTCTCCGGGGTCTCTGCCCGGCGAGGTCCAGATCGTGGCAGCCAGATCCAGGGTGCCCCTTCCAGACCAGGAAGCCAAAGACGCCCGTGGTCCTTAGCAGCCGTGCATCTCTGGCGCACTGCGCTCCAGGCGGCCTGTGGGACCTCAACTGGTGCGCACGGAGGCCACCGAGGTTTGCAGCCCAACGGGCCAGAGCAGGCAGGGCAGAGATTGCCCTCTACCTGGAGGCCGCCGCGCGGCACCTCCTGAGCCCCAAGGAGGGTTCGAGCCGGGGCTCGCCGGCGCCCCCTGTCGGCGCCCGCGCTCTCTGCGAGGACTCGGGCCGGCCGCCTTGGCCAAGCCCTGGCTGACTCAGGCAGCCGGCGCTTGCTGTGGACGCGAGTCAAGGTGAGGGTTGAGGGACTCGGGCAATGGACAGAGGCCTGGTGTCCTCCAGAGGCCGGAACGTGAAGGCTACCTCCATCCTATAAAGCACTGAAGTTCACTCATGGATTCTCCCTACCCTATGTCTTTGGTGGCCACTTCCACGATCTGTGGGACTCCTTCTTATCTTGTTGGGGATTTTTCACCCTCCCCACCCTTCTTCCCTGGCTCTGGTCCTGCACCAGCAAGTTTCCTCGGTGACTCCCTCGCCTCCTGCTCTTCAGATGCTGGAGTATTTCTCACTGCTCCCGGCCAGGGCTGGAATCCTGAGGCTAGACTTGAAGCAGAGATGCCCAGAGGCTCACCCAATGCCTGCATCCGGGACTCCTGCACTCGCCAATCCTCACAGCACTCTGCAGAGACAATCCCCCGACCGCCGCTGCTCTGGCCCAGGCTTGCCACTCCTGCAGGGTCTTCTTCAGGGAGGGTGTCAGCTTTTTGATTTCTTGAAACTGATGAAAGTCATCGGGAGCCTGGCCTGGTGAGTTAGGTGGATAGTGGCTGGGGTTAAAAATTGTGGTGGTGAGATGAGTTCTCTGCTGACTCTCAGAAGCAAGGTCTGGAGGAGTCGCACCATAGGTGAGCCATATCAGCACCTCACAACAAGCACCTGGCCTCTCAGAGTACCTCCTTTAGAAGTAATACTTCTCAAGCCAATAGATGGGTTCTGACTTTTCATTAGATCCTCAAAAGTGACAGTGATTCATAAAATGTTACCCAGCCACTAGTTTCAAGTTGCATTTCCTGTGACAACAGCAGTGGGTTTTGTTTCCATATTTACGTATCTTATTTTCCCCTCACTCTCCTCTGATCCTCATAGCTCTCTGCTTCCCCTATGGTATCAACAGGTTAAAAACTAGCCATTGAGGTGGCCATGGCTTGTGACCGAAAGACTGATGCACAGGGGAAAGAATTCAAAGAGGGCTGCTTGGGCTTTGGAGTGGAAGGATAAACCAGAACACTCAAGAACAGAGGGGCCAAGTCCCTCCACCCCACACTTCACTTTCTCCACCGTATAAAGATAACCTCCAACATCTGTAAAGCCCATGATCACAGAGAATCAGCATTCTAGGAAAATGGTAGACTCCTTCAGGTCCACCTTTCTCAAACAGAAGAAAGATGCTAAGAGATCTGCAGACATCCATGTGTTCAGTGGGGAGTTGGTCTGATGCCTTCCAGGTCTCACTTGGATTCTCATGGAGAGTCCCTGCTTCTTAACTTCAGTTGGCTCAGAAGGCCTTCACTTCAGTAGTCCTCTCCTTCACTCAGGGAGGTCTCCTGGGCCTCCCAATAACTTCCAGGGAAATTCCCTTCCTCTGGCTAAAGAGTTTTGATGCTACTAAGCCAGGGTGTCTCTCTCCGTGGAAGCTATGGAAGAGCCTTCTCAGTGATGGACACCTCAGAAATCGTGAGCCTTCAAAGGCTTCCCTGAGAGCAGGGTTCAGAGGTGGGACCCTTACAGATGGAAAAGGTGATCCCTGAAATAAGAAGAAGTTGGGAAGCATCTGACCCACGAGGCTGTTCTGCCATGAACTATTGATTCCTGGCCACAGAAACCCTGAACAAAGGTCAGTCAGGCCACTCTTTACCTTCTCCAGCATCCCCTTTTAAGTGCACCCTTTAAAGACCCAAAGTGTTGCTCTCTCACAGGTCCCTCAAAAAGGTCACACATCTCTTCTGGCTTCTCCACGGAGGAAAGAAGTCAACACAGGAATTTATTTGTCCCCACAAAACAGCACCTTCTTCCAGGGGCAGCACCTGCCTTTCTTTCCCACTCTGAGGGCATCTGGGTGGAGGACCTGCCTCAGGTCCCAACCAATCGGTGCATCATATCTCTCTCGGCTCTGTGATTGGTTCAGGAATAGTCATGTGACCTAAGCTGGTCCAATCAGAATGAATCTTGGATTTTTTTTTTTTTAACTAGATGCCATTGAAGAAGTTGAACTGTTGTAGCATTGTGGTCTCCAATCCCACACCAGGAGAAGAGAGAGAGCTTGCGAAGGCCACCAAGAGAAGATGGAGAATGGTGCCAACACAGCAGATAGCAGAACAGAAGCAAGAAGTGGTCCTGCTTACGTTTAAGCCCTAGATCCAGCCCCACCTGAAGCCAGATCCACCTCTGCACCTTTCTGTTTTGTGAGCTGATAAATTTGCTTTGTTAACTTAATTCACTTTGCCTTGGCTCTTCTGTCACTTGCCACAGAATGAAGCCTGATACACTTAGCAGCTGATGAAAACAAGGAACCCTTGGGCCAGGGACCAGAGTGCTCAGAAACAAGGCTGGAGCAAGGGGCAAAAAGCAAAAGTGGGGTTCCAATCCTCTTCCCAGAAAAAGAGCACCCAGAGAAACTGCCAGGATTCTCTTAAAACTACAGGTGTGCCTTTCTTCATAATAGCTCTGTTCCAGAAAAGAGGTTTGTAAATTGAATTTTTGTAAATTGGATCTGGGAGATTCAACCAGTACTGGAAAAGCTGGTTATTTAAGGTATCTCAACAGATGTCTTTTATGAAGTGAATGGTCATGTCCTTAAATAACAATGGTAATTTATTAATAATTGTAATTTTCCTACCTCAGGCATATATTTTAAAGCAGGACCAACCTGAATATCTTCATGGTATCTTTGTATAAATTAATCAAAGGCCAGGAAAATTTGCTGAGCCCTGTTAGATACAACTACAGCTCTGCATTCCTGCTCCTTTGCAAAGCTGTGGAGCTGGAACTTTCTGGGTAAATACTGGAGCAACGATTTTGAGCCCTGCAGTTACCTACAAAAGCTACCATCAATTCTCAGTTAGGTTTCAGAGGGGAAAGACATAAAGCTATTTGGGCTTTCTGGCCAGAATATGGCCTCTGATGTGTTTGCTAGCATGGGGGGAGTCCATTAAGTAGCCCATAATCTCTAAACCTGGGGGGCTTTAAGACTACAAGTTAAACAAAGTATCAAATTATGAAGTGAAACAACTGGTGGCGATTCAAGAGCTACTTTTCCTAAGATGTGATGTTAGCGACCAGAGTGTCGATGACCAGAGGGCTCCCGGTCTATGCTGTGAATGTGTCCACCAGTATACCACACAACCATGACCTGACTCCTGCCTTTCCCAAGTTCCAATTATCAGCCCTGATTTTACCTTAGGAAGAGGTACACACTCTTTTTTTGTCACTAGAAACAAACAGGACCAAATATTGGAAAAATACAGTTTTCCAGAGAATGTATAGCTAGTGTCTGACTCAGAGATGTGACTTGGTCTGTAGGTCATACAGAGTTATCAGGAATGATCCCCAAGGTTACCGTGAGTAAATACTGCAAGGAAGCAAGTAGAAAGCAAATGAAAAAGACCAAATTCAGGCAAAAAGCAAGTCTCTTGAATCTGGCCAGTATTTAGAACCCTCATAAGCCTTCTCTGGACCTGCCAAGGGCACAGGCCACAGTGCTGAGGGTGGGCAGTGATCTGGGTGGGAGGAGGGGGTGCAGGTAGGAGGCTAGGCCTTCGAAGCAACATTACTCTGGAGACTTCATCTTTAAATCCTGATCCAAAGGACTGAGTTGAGCCTTACAGATCTTGGAGAATCATAAGAGGAAGATATGAGAGTGGATGGAAATGTGCTCAGGGTCAAATGTGTGCTGATGGTGCCAGGCTCCGGGAGGGAAAGAAAGTGGAATCAGATGGTGTATCGTCAAGGAAATAGGAGGACTAGCTCAGAGAGTCTGTTTGACTCTCTAGAGAGTCTCTGACAGGCTAGATCTACACTTGCACCCAAGATTCTTGAGTGCTTCTGAGTGCTCTAGAATCCCACGAGGGCTCCAGAATCCTCAAGAGTGCTTTGCAGCCTGTTCATGGGAAGGTCATCTGGTAGAGTAGAAACTGATGGGCTAACGTTAAGAGCATGAGAGGGCAAGTCTGAAATCACACTAGTAGCCGAGGACAAACCTGGTCATCGGAGTGAATGTTTGAGACAGTTATGTTCGCTGCAGCTTATCCAGCCCACCTCTGGCTCTCAGGGTCCCAATATGGGGCCCTTCCACGGCTGTGGGGCCTCCCTACCCAGGGTTGCAAGCTTCAAGAGGGCAGAACTCAAGCCTGTTTCACCGCTAGACCCCAGACCTAGCCCAGCCCCTGGCAATATGGGGCATGTGGAGAGTGCTGATGAAGCAAATGAAGAAATTAATTCTAAAACACAAATAATTCACAGTATGTTCAGGTACTGTTTTAACTTTTATTGACTCCTTGGATGAATGAATGAATTCGTGACAGCATGACTTAAAATGTGTTGTCATCACTAGAAGTTAGTTGCAACTTTTAAGAATTAACAGTTATTTTCCTGATAGAATGTAATCCTCAATACATACTGATGAATAATTAGAAAACAGAAATATATGAAGAAGACAATTATATCCCTCAATCTCACACTGCCAGCCTTTTATGCTTTTCCTTCCAAGTATTTTTCTGCACATTTCTATTTTATACAAACTTTGAATCATTCTGTATAAAAATTTTGTGTCCTGCTTTTATTCTCTAACCTTGTAGCACAAGGTATTTCCCCACATCATTAAATATCGTTTGAAAACCTGATTTTATGGCTACATAATGTTCCATCAAATGGATGCAACAAAATTTATTTAAACAATCTCTTATTTTAGAACATCTAAACTGTTTCTAATTTTTTGTTCTCTCAAAAGAAATCTTTGCATCTCTGTTCATTTTCTTAGTATCAGTGATTGGAGGTGAAGTTACTGGGTCTGTGGGTATGGAGGGTTTTCAGGCTCCTCAAGACATTGCCAACTGTCTTTCCAGAAAGGCCCCACCCTAACATGTACTTCCCCACTCATGTCTCTTCCTGCCTTTTAGGGGTCAGGAAAGGGGGAGAACTTTAGGACTTATTTTACAAACTCACAAAAGAATATTAACTCTTAGGCAGATACATTTG